GACGTCCCACCAACCGAGTCCATTCCCAAACCAGAAGAACCTAAAGCACCAGCCCCTGCACCTCAGTTCCAGCAAGTACCTCCGTATTACTACCAATTTCCACCTCAAGGTTACTACCCACCACAAGGCTTCCCGAACTACCCTCCTCAACCTATGCCTTACTTCCCCAACCCTTGGATGTTCCAGCAAGCTCCACCCCAGCAATTCCAATCTCAATCCCAATCGAAGAGAGACCAAGACTTCGAAGAAGGTCTGAACCGCTTACGCAAAGAGTATGCTACAGCTCCAATGGAAGACGACAGGCTTTCAGTCTCTTCCCTCAAATCGACCGATTCGACTCGTACCACAGATTCGGTCAAAGACAGAGACGACTACCTCAAGCAGTCTGAGAGACTCTTCATCTTACAGCCATTTACAGTTGGAGCTCTCAAGAACATGCGCAATTACGAAGGTCAGACACCAGCTGGAGACCGCAAAACAGACGTACTCGCAAGAGCCGTCCAGCTCGTCAAGACAAAGACTGAGATAGTCGACTTCATTCTTGCAGCTTGCCCATACAAGTAAAAAAATAAACAATTACGAGTTAAACTTTTTATTCTTTCTTTTCTGAGTTGTTTAGAGCTGGTTTCTCTTGTAGGAACCTTTCGTACTCTTCCACGGTCATGTAATTGCGAATTTGGTACGCAATTCCAGGTTCGTTGTTTTTGAACCTTACGTATGTAACGCTTCCATCCTCCTCAGGGAAGTAAGCTGCTAACATCTGACCAAGTTTTCTCGGTGACTCGGAGCTCATTAAAAATGCCACTTTTTAAACGTTAAGTTTTTAGTCTTATTTTACCCTTTGTTTGTCAAGGTAGTATTGGAGCGCAATTTCTCCAAATTCTCTGTGTCGGAGTTCTTCAGCATTTTCCAAGGTGTACCTGGAGAACTCAAAGAAGTTGTCAAGAACATACTGCCATGCTGCTCTTCTGAGTTCGTCGGTATTTTGGAAGTGTTGCACCTTCGAGTCTTCTGACATGAAAAAAAATGACCAAATTTCATTATATAACTGTTATTTTTGACGAAGTGAACTTTTACTCTTCGTAAAAAAATCCCTGAAATCGTGAAAAATTGCGAGTAGGTAAAAAACCCCAGTCGCCAAAACTCATGAAAATCGTGAAAAAATGCGAGTACGTAAAAAACCGTAGTCGCCAAAACTCTATGAAAATCGTGAAAAAATGCTACCCCGACTTTTACAGGGGTTGCCTAAAACTCATGAAAATCGTAAAAAAACTCTATGAAATCATATCTTTTATACAAGATAGAAAAAATAAAATTAACGCTAGTTTTTTTAAAATATTTTTTTTTATTTTGTATGTAAGAACAGGAAATGACAAACATTGAGTTTGAAACAGTCAAAAAGATAGACAATGACACCAAAGTGGTTAGAATTGGTGATTTAAACGTAAGATACTCAAAGAAATACAACAAATATTCTTTGTCAGACATTCTAACACCATCTGGAAAGAAAACATGGCATTGGGTTGGAATTGCTTCAACTCAGAAAATTTTGACAAGAAATCCTGAGCTTATGATATCGGTAAGATTCTGTGGAACTACAGCATATCTTATAGACAAAAGTCTTATACCGATAGTTTTGTTATGGATTGACCCAGTTGTTGGATATAACTTCATAACTTATGGTTCATTCGATACGGAACGTTGCAGTGAAGGCTTACTTTACATCGTTCAGAAACCGAAGGACTTCAATACAAAAAGATATAAGATAGGAAGAACATATAATATAACTCAAAGATATGACAGTATAGTCAATAGAGTTAAGGTTGTGTTTGTGAATGATATGAGAGCTGCTGAAACAGAACTACTTGAAAAGTTTGAGAAAATGTATGGTGCTCCCATAAAAGGTAAAGAAACGTTTGAAGTAGATGAGATAGATAAAGCTATAAAATTATTTGACGAAGTTGCTGAAAAATACATGTAAAGCGTTTATTTTTGGTCTTTTGTGAAAGTCAGATGGCTCAGGTAGCTCTATAAGGTAAATTGTCTTGTCAAATCCTTCTGACATTCCGAGTCCTTCCTTCCGACAGGAAAAGTTTTTCCTTCCAACAGGAAAAAAATTTCCTTCCAACAGGAAAAGTTTTTCCTTCCAACAGGAAAAAATTTTCCTTCCAACTGGAAAAAATTTTCCTTCCAACAGGAAAAAATTTTCCTTCCGACAGGAAAAATTTTTCCAGTTGTCCGTCCGTAAACCATTCAAATTTTCGAAAATTGAGAACTTTTTGGCCGACCTTCAGGAAAAATTTTTCTTTCCGACAGGAAAAGTTTTTCTTTCCAACAGGAAAAAATTTTCCTTCCGACAGGAAGAACTCTTCCTTCCAACAGGAAAAGTCCTTCCATCCGACAGGACACAAACGAATGTCCGACGTACCACCAACCGAGTCCATTCCAAAGCCAGAAGAACCGACAGCCCCAGCACCACAACAGACTAAGACTCAAACACTTACATTTTTACGCTTGACTTTTTACAATTTGAACTTTGTTTGCGTAGATATGAATTCTGAAAGAAGTATGAGGGTCTTGTATGACTTTGTACTTCTCCCATAGTTCATGTCTGTCAAACTTACCTGCCATGGACTCTTTCATAAGTTCCATGAAATCGTCTTCGGACAATCCGGGGAAAAGTACAATATCAGTAAGTATTCTCTTTACATCCTTACTTAAACTCTTGGCTGTCTGTACACAAATGACAACTGAAATGTTAAAGTGTCTGAGCTTCTTAAGAATTCGACACATGTCTTGTTCTCTATTCTTTAACAAAGGATGAGAGGCGAAATCATCTAAGATAAGAAGACATCTGTGAGGGTAAGTCTTCCAATCGTAAGATTGCAATTTCTTCGAAATGTATTCTATCTCTTTCTGTTTGTTTCTGAAGTGTTTCTTCTCTAATATTCTCTGCATTTCCTCATTTGGGTCTTTAAACCTCGAATTGACATACTCATTTATAGCATTGTACTTCAAAACTCTTCTTTGGTACTTCTTTATCCAATCTAACAACTCAGAGTCTTTTATAGATACTAACTTAGACTTTTTTATAATATCTTTGAACGAATTTACGGTTTGGTCAAATTGACCAGAAGTACTACAAATGACTACTAACTCATAGAATGGGTTCTTCTCATCTAGTTCTTGTTGTTGTGCAGCCATTTTAAGATAAGTGAAAGTCTTACCAGACCCAGGCGGTGCAATTAGACCTGTTATACCATTCTGAGCAAATAAGAACTTGTCATGTATGGGTTTTATCTGAGCATTTTCTAACTTCCTCTTGTTCTTGTTTAAAACATTCTCAAATTTCTTGTCAATGTCAGCAAACTTTTTTTCTAACATATTTTTAGAAAAATTAAAATTTTTATCTTTTAGGAAATGTCTAGCGATTTCGCTATCTATATTCGAGACAAGCTTTTCGACAGCAAAACATCTGTCGACCATAAAATCTTACATAGTGTAAACAAGAAAGGGGAATTTGTTCTAAAGTTCTGTTTCTGGGAATATGACAAGAACCATAAAACCTTAAGCAGAGAAGTCTTAAAATTTGTCAATGACAGACTTGTTGACAGAGATGACGCCTCTTGGAGAGATGAAGTCCAACAAAACTTCTTAGAATGCAAAGAAGACACATGCGCTGTTCTTGAAAATGAAATAGAAAACAGAATAGAAGAGCTATTAAATGACAAAGCACTTTTACAAAAATATGGTTCTGAGAAGTTTGACATAACTCCACCAGAGAAGAAGAAGAGAGAAAAGAAAGAAAAGAAAGTAGAAGAAGAGAAGAAAGAACCAGAGCCAGAGAAAAAGAAATTTGACATGTAAAAAAAAATTTTATTTTTAGAACATTTCTGGGTCAATGTCAATGTTCTCTTCCTCTTTAGGAGCAAACACCGGCTTAGACTCTAAAATCTTTTTACCCAATTTACCTTGAACTTCAACTATCTTAGACTCATAATATTCATAGTCGTCTGCTTTCTTTGGTTCATAAGGTATAACAAGTTTGTATGCTTTGCCTTCTTTAAGGTTTGAAAACCTTCTGTCAAAACTTTCTTTGACTGTTAACAAACCTTCTATGTCTAAGTCTTCAAATTTCGCACCATTTTTAGTCACAATAGCAAACTTAACTGGTTCGATGTTCCAAACTTTGTCAAATGTAGACTTTTCAAAATGGTAGAAGTAAACATTCAAATATGTGAATGGGTCTAGTTCTTCTTTAAGTCCTGACATGTACTTGTTGACTGAGATGAATTTCGTCATCTTTTCTATCGGATAAAAAAAATATTTTTTTTAAAATTTACTCAGAAAAATTTTTCTTTGTATATACACCATTCTGTACGTCTAAAAGACTTTTGACATTTGCCAAGAATGTTCGTTTAGACGCTGTCATATAACCATACTCTTGACAATACTGTTTATACGAATCGTACAATGACCTTTCATCTAAACACTCAAAGTCAGTTTCATCTATGAACAGTTCATATACACTCTTGTTTGCTTCTAACAATGTTTGTCTCTCTTCGGTATGTGGAATTTGTCTTGGATTGAACTTTGAAATATCTAATGTCATGAAATATGAGAACAAGTGGTTGTAAAAGTTAGGTGTTAAAGTTTCTGCTAAGTCGTCAAAATATTCTGTATCTTGCATATGAGAATCTGACGTTCTGACAACTACATATCTTCTGTCAGAACTTTCTAACTTCATCGGAACGGCGTTGTTTGAAACCATGATGAAATTTGCAACATTTTCACAAACTCTTTGGTCTTTATATTTTCTTTCAACAACTCCAACTTTGTCTGTTATAAGACTCTTCAAAGCATCCGAGTTTAAAACCTTTGTTGTATCTATACTTTGAAGTTCGTTACATACTATAAGTTTCATATTCTCTATTGAAGAGTTAAATTTACCGCAGATGTTTTCTAAGTTTGTCATATTCGGGTTCGAATAGCCCTCTAACAGTTTGCATAAGATATCTGTAAAGAAAGTGTTCTTACCAGTTCCTTGTTTTCCAATTATGATGAGAGCAGTTTCATTTTTAGCACTTGGATGTTGTAAGATGTTTGCAAACCAACATAAGATATACTCATAGACTCTTTCGTTTCCATTGCATATAATTTCTTTGACATGGTCTAACCAAGCTTCTATAACATTTTCTTTCCATTCTACTTGTTCGTATTTATATCCAGTGAAGATAGAATAGAAGTTTGGAGAAGGTGTATAGAACTTTATACCACGAACTGAAAAATCTTCAAGTTTTGACAATAAGATATCCCAAGCATCTAACATCTTCATGCCAACTTGTACGACTTTTATTTTCTTAAGTTTCTGTTTACATTCTTGTTCTGAAACTATTGTCGCTCTTGGTTTGTTAAAGACTACATCCCATTCTTTCATGACATAACATTCTGGGGCAGAGTCGACATAAATGACTAAACGTTTCAAATTCTCGACTGCTTTGTTATAGTCTCGAAATGGACACATATTTCTGAACGCTTGGAAGTCATAAAAATCTGAAACGTCTATTCTGTACATTTTTTTATATAAAAATAAAAAAAAATATTTTTTTTATTCTTGAGCTATTTGTTGTTGCATTTGTTCCATTTGTTGCATTTGTTGTTCTTGAGCTATTTGTTGTTGAAGTTGTTCTTGTAGTACAATACTTTCACCAGTTGCATCTTCCAATTCGAAACTTTCTGCCGTCATTGACAAATACATAGGACATAAAAGTTTTACAGGAACAAAGTTTGCGTCAACTAAGGTTAAGTTTATGTTTGCCAAAGTGTTTGAGTTTACTAAAGCTGAAAACTCTGCATTCGAATGAACAATAGGCAAACCAGCAGAGAAAGTGTTGTTTATACGCATGAGTATCTTTTGGTCATAGTAGTTTCTGTCGACATTCGAATAGCACTTTGAACCTAAGTTTGAAACAATATATAAAATAGGTGTACTTAAAGTCAATGGAACAGACAAACCTTGTATGACACCTTTTCCTGTTATAGGAAACTGTTGGTAGTAAAAACCAGATATAAGTTTTGTATTATAGCTCATATCGTTTATAGTAAACTCAGTCGGACATCCAAACATAATGAAACCTGCTCTAGTTGCAGCACATGTTACATCCGTCCTTAAAGTATTAAATAAGTCAACAAAACCTGTTGGTGGTATATCTGAGTAAGTATCTTCAAAGGAGTATTTTTTACCATTCACAACAATAAAATCTTCTGGTGTCAAAAGAGCAAAACGGCTTTAGTCGTCATCGTGTTTAAGGTCAGTTTACAATACCGTCCTTGAGGACTTTGTAAGTTTGTTGTTATAGAATTATATGACTCAGGGTTTTTAGTCGTAATAGTATAAACCACTATGTCTTCTGCCATTTACATATATTTAAAAGTTTTTCTGAAAGTGGAGAAGAACTTCATCTAAACTTTCACATGGCGTTTCTTGAAGTTCTCTGTCTAAGAAGTTCAAATATTTTGTAAAGACATAGAACTTTCCTTTGTCTACACGAACAAACAAAACAGGGTCTTTCATATCGTTCAAAAGTGTGTAAAGTCCTTTACATGAAATAAAGTCTATATTGTTTTTCTTCAAACATCTTTCAAGAAGTTTTGACATTTTTACTTAGCAAGTAAATTTTAATGAAATGTTGTGGTCGTCAAATATTTTTATGACGTCTGGGAAACTATATTTTAAGTTCAACGTTTCACCTCCTTTCATAACGTATATCTTGTCAATGACATTGTATGAAACACCACAGCAAGCAATGTCGGGTTCTATTTCTTTGATGTTTATATCGTCTGCCTCTGTCAAAAGTTTCAATAGTTCTTTCAAAATTTCATGAGGTGCGATGACATATGAGTTCACTTTTACAGGGTTGTGTTCGACCAAGTTTAACATTATACCCAAAGCCTGACAAATCTTCTCCTGAGTTTTAAGTTTGTCTTTAAGTTGTTGGTAGTCATTTCGAATATCTGCAACAGAACTTAAGTCTCTGCTAACTTCAGGATATGTTGGTTGTTCTTTTACAGGAACTATTGTTATACCATCTTCGTCTTCGTATGGTTTCCCCACTTCAACATCTCTGTCTTTGACATTGACAACAACACTTTGACTGTTTGTTTGAGTTGGTGAATTTAACTTCACATCTGCCACCGCCATTAAACCTTTTGAAACACTTACGCTTCTATTTTTCGGAAATGACATTTTACTTAGAATAAAAAGATGGACGTATTTGAGTATCTCTTCGAATTGAAGCAGAACAAAGTTTACACACACAAACAATACAAGTTCATTGACAGAGTAGTTCTTTACACAAACAATGGAAAATGTTATAGAATAGCAGTCTTTGCTGAACCAAAATATTTTCATAAAGCAAAGAAAGTTGGTATAACCGAGATGGTGAAAGTTCTTGAAGCAGACAAAAATATAACAACAAAACTGACCGATATTTCTAAAGGTAAGTTTATAATACAATACTATGTCAAAACTGGCGTACTGTCAATATTTGACGGAGAGAAGTCAGTTCAAGAACAACTTACTGACCTGCTGCCAAAATCTGCTCGATGGAAGCTGTCGTTATACCAATCTGAGGAGCTCCAGCAGGTTTCATCGAACGAATTTTCAAAAGAGCATCTTCCGTGAAAAGTGCTATTGGTTTTGTAAACTTCTTTGCTTTCAATTCATCTGGACCGTCTCTGTCACCAGTATATTGTATTTGAACTGTACCAACAGTTGAAATACCACCCATAAAGTCTTCTGAGTCAGCAAATGGAATGCCAAGCCAAAAGTTTGAACGGTCTCCATTTGTATATTGAGTGTTTTGAGCTCCTGTATGGTCCATACTTTCACATATGGCATAATAGAACTTTGCATTTCAGGGTTAATGGTTGTTGTGAAGTTGTTGTTAAAGTTCATAGCATCTAATGTCAAGTTGTATGACCTCATATCCTCAACTGTAGAATATTCTTCTCTTGGATAGTATTTGCCATCTATGTTTATATGATATTTAATACCGGGTTGTAGAAACAAGAATAGTCATTTATAGTTCGTCTGAACAGTACAAACATAGTATCTGCATGTTTCATTGCAGTTGTTAAAGGCAATATCTGTTCTTGCACCTGGGTCAGCACTTTGGTTTCCAACTTCACCTGCAAAGTCTTTGACAGATATTTGGTGTATAGGGAACATAAGTGGAACTGCAATATATTTGGCAGCTAAAGCATTTGAAATATCTGGGTCCAACATATAGACTGCAAGTCTGCTTTCTATTCTCTTGCATTCAAACTTTTCGCATGTGAACTTAACTGGGTCCCAAGCAGTTCCAGCAGCATTGAAGTAGTAGTTTACTTCAGTGTTGAGGTTTGAGAAACCAAAGTCTAAGTCAACTTTGTCTTTGCAAAATTCGGCGAATGACGTTTGATTTGCTCCCTTTACGTCTGTAAGAGTGAATGGGTCTTGTGTTGGTGCAATGACTAAGTTATTTTTGCTTGGAGTAAGTTCGATAGAAATTTTTCCTGCCCAGTTTGGCAAGTATCTTAAAAACCTGAAGATGAGGAAAGATGACAAAGGAACTCTAAGTTTCAATTTTACTTTGGTTACTGCTGCTGCAGTTTGTCCAGAAAGGTTAACATAAACTCCTGGAACGTTAGGGTCAAGTCTTCTTATTTTCTCAATAGTTGCATACTGGTCTGTTTGTTCTCTAGCTTGTGGTTGTACTGAGTTTCTCAAAGCGAACCATTCATAGTTTGCCCATGTTACTGTTTGAACTAAGTCAGAGTTAGAATATATCTTATATCCCATGAAAACTTCTGGAGCATATTGGTATCCGACATAGAAAATTCCATTGCAACCTTTCTTGTCAGACAACTTGGCAGAAGGTTTTATTTCAATGTCTTGTTCCACGTATAAGAAAGAGTTGTCAATAGAAATTATATGAAACCTGTCGCAAGCAATATCTACTGTTGTTGAAGAACCTTCTCCAAACTCACCTACGTTTCCATAAGAAACAGCAGTTGTATATTCGTAAGTTCCAGGAACTATTTCTGACCTTCTAATGGCATTGTCGCATTCGTTATACCATTCGGAAACATTTCCATTCATAGCATCCAAAACTGTTGGCGTTATATTCTGAGCGGCGTACATTTCATATGGGTAAAAATATAGAATAGTTGGATTTATGTGTCATAATAGAACCCACGTGGACCAAGCTTTACTTTCTTCCTGACTGAGTTTTTAACTCTTCTTTTTCCTTCATTGCCACTACTTTCACTAGATGAAGTTAGTTCTTCACTACTTTCACTTTGTTCTACTCTTCTCTTCTTCTTTGGTGTCGCTTTTGGTAACTTGCCCTCTGCTTCAAGTTGTTGCATCTTTGCCTCATGTTCACCTAGTATGTTGTAAATTTCCCATGTCCTTTTTGCCTTTGGGCTCTGGTCGCCCATCTCAGGTAACCTATATCCTAGAAAGAGTTTGTCATAGTTTGTATTTGAGTCTTTGCGTATTGTTTGCATGACTCTTTCCTGAGTTTCCGGTTCAAGCTCTTCAAACAGAGCCTGTCCATATGGAATAAGCTCGTTTCCAAATATATGTTTTTGTAGCCATTCTGGTTTTCTTTCCATGTTACCAACTATATCTTTTGTGAATGGGAAAGCTTTTACCCAATCTTTCAGTCTTGCGTCGTTTATTTCTGTAGTTGGTTTTATTTTGTCAAGGAACATGTTTTTCAATACTAACATTTCATTTGGTACTGTCCATTTGAGTTTTCTTAAATATTCATCCCTTCTCAGTTCATTGTCTGCAAAGTAAGTTTTTATGACATTTTGCAAACTTTCGTTTGCAAGGTCATGTACAATAGGTTCTCTTCCTTCTCTGTCCCTAACTTTCTTTCTAAACTCTTCACCAAATATACCATCTCTATGGTTCTGTGTAGTTCTTTGAGATAAATGTTTTAGAACGTCAGGTGTTATATTTCCATCAGCCATGTTCATTTCATACTGGTCCAAAATATCTGCATGTTTCATATCTTTCAATGGCATTAAAGCCGCGCTTAAAATACCAGCTATATCTCGTTCACCATTCACTTCCATTGCGTCTACAACTTCTTGGAATTGTGGTTGTAAGTTTATGAACCACCTATCCGGGTTAGCTTTATGACCCCATCTCATTGTAGTTCCATCGTCTGCAGAAACAAAAGTAGGTTTGTTTCCATCTTGGTTAGGTTCTGAATGAACTTTAAACAATGTTTCATTTCTATATGTTTTCTTGAAATTTAACCTTTTATTTTCACCGAGTTCATCCGAAGATTGAACGTTAAATGCTCGTAAGTAAAAAGGGTTGTTGTATTTGTGTACATTTTCTTTCAGTGCTTCCATTCTATGCTGAATATTTTCATCTGGTGTTGGAGTCTTTTGTATGTCGGCAAACATTTTTCGATATTCTTCTACTATGTCAGCCGAATTTTTTTTAGACTCTTGGAAATATTCCATATTCTCCGCATACTCTTGTTGAGGGTCAAGATTTTTCGGCTGTTCCAAATCTTCATCTAGTTCTGTGAAGTTAGTTTCCAAAGGAGTGACTTGTTCGTTTCCTTCAGGCTCTTCTAGCTGTTGTTGCTGAACTATTTCTTCCATGTCTGGTTGTATCTGAACTAGTTCTTCCTGTGGAGTTTCTTGTACCTCATCTGCTGGCATTTCATATATTCCGAGACCGTTTTCAACAATTTCCCTATCTAAGTCATCCGGACTCATAAACCTTTCTTCTTTCGTTCCGTCTCTATTTTTTACGCGTTTCATGACGGGAGTTGAATTGTCATTTAGCTCTGACATCAAATATCTCGGAGTAAATTCGTTCATGTCATTTGGATGATATGCTATTAAATCATATCCCTTAGCGAGCTTGTATTTTCCAGGTTTGAATTTATATCCGTTTTGGTGCTGAGCCATAAAGCTAAATAGGTCCGGGTCAGTATTTCCTTCATTGAACTTTCTAATAGCTTCTTTATATCTGTCACTAAAGTCAATACTATCTGGGTAACCATAGTCTTCCTTAAGCCTTTTTAAGAATTCTTGGTTTCCTTGTTCTCTACTTCTTTTATGTCCTTGCTCTGGTTGTGGAGGTGGTTGTTGTGCAGGGTTTTGAACTGTTGGTTGTTGTGTTGGTTGTTGTGTTGGTTGTTGTGCAGGGTTTTGAACTGTTGGTTGTTGTGTTGGTTGCTGTGCTGGTTGTGGAGGTGGTTGTTGTGCTGGTTGTTGTGTTGGTTTTGGTGCATGCCTGTGTCTGTGTCCATGTGACGATGTAAATGTGTTAGGTAGTCCTGGTGCAGGTGCTTCTCTTGGAGGGTTTGGTGGTATATAAGTTCCACTAGCTAGTATATAAGTTCCACCAGCTGGTATATAAGTTCCACCAGCTGGCACATATGTTCCATCTGCAGCGTAATGTCCTACCTGACTTTTCGTTTTTAAGAAAGCATTTACTAGGTCTGTTTTGGTCTGTTGTAACTCTTTTTCTTGACTTTTCACAACAGTTGCTCTAACGGCGTCATAGGCACTTTGAACTGCCTGTCTCGTTGCTGCATCTGTTATTTTCGTCATATTTTGTGCTACTTCTTTTAACTCTTTGTCGAAACCTTCAGACTTCAGTTTCTTTCCAGATGAGAAGTCGTTCACTTGTTTCACCTTACTATGAAGAGCTTCGAAGGCGTTCTTAAAGTCAGCATTCGTTAAAGCTTCATTTGAACTGTCTTCATCCGCTTGTATTTTTGTCCTTATTGACCCTATAAGCTGGGCTGCTTTAGCGTTGGCTTGGGCATCTAACCAGTCATTGTTAGCTTTTATATATTCTGCGCTTTTCATTGCCTTTTGCATGGCTGCGTCGTTATTTTTACTTTCTTGTGCTAAGTTTTCATACTGTACGGTTTGGTTTTGCAACTGTAAAAGTTTTTCTGCCTTTACAGTTGCTTCAACTTCTTTTTTATACTCATCGCTATCCATATATGTCTTCAGGGCTTTTTGTTTTATTTCTTCATCTTTCAGTACTTTATATCGAGTAGTATGGTTTTTCAAATTTACAACATCTTGTTCCATTTTTGCTACTTCTGCTGCTTTTTCTGACACTTTTTTCGCATATTCCTCTGTACTTAGTTCTTTCAGTTGTTCTTCTTTCTTCTTTTTCTCTACGTTTAACTCATTGAGTTTCTTTGTGTGTCTGTCATATTCTAGTTTCTTTTCGTTTTCACTTATTTGCTTCTGTATGTCTATGTTTGACTTTTTGACATCTGTTATTTGATTTTTGAGTGAACTCAAATTCATTTGACTTTGAGGGTTATAGGCTGTTCCGTCTGCAGCTCCACCATAGCCTGCCATTTTCGCTAAAAGTGCCGCTCTTAAACCTCCACTCTGTGCACCAACAACTCGGTTTAAAAGCATAGGATTGCTTGACATTTGTTGCAACATAGTGGGGTCATTCAGCATTTGTTGTTGCAACTGTTGTTGTGGTGTCAGTTTTACTATTGGATGTTTCAATGCTCTCTTCCTCTTACGTATATTCTTACGTAGCTTACGTGGCATTTTAAGTGAAGTTAAAAAGCGGTTTTTGACAGATGTTTATATGACACTTTTTGTTCAGCACAAAAAACTACTCGGTCAAAGTGTTGTCAGTTTTGTAAAATAACCGTCCTATCTCATTCTATAAGGGGAAAAGTCTTCTCAAAGTATACTTCCTTGGAACGCCCGTAACTTTTCCTGTAGCGACGATAGACCCTTACTTGTCCGGACAAAGTTATACTATTTTGAGTGCTCTACAAAAAAGTCAACGGCGACGACTCTCAAAAACCGTTGTGTAAAAAGTTTTACCGTTGGACAAAAAAGTATATATAGAAAACAAAAAACGTTTATAGTTCATTCAATATTTGAGATGGAACGGTTTGCCAACGGTAACTATTAAATAAAATAAAAAAATAGAGGGGGTTACCGTTGACGAAAACGGTTTATATTAAACTTTTCTATGAGTAGTCCGAAAAAAACAGTTCATTTTTGTCTAATGGAAGCCAACATTAACAATTCTCAACCGCTAACCAAAGCCAAAGCCCCACAACCTCCAAGAACTGGCACAGCTGTTAGAATAACCACCAAAAAGTCTAACAGCGAATTAAGAGAAATTCTTCAACAAATTTGCTCTAAATATCTCAAAGACGCCGAAGAAAACACACAACCAGACGCTATATACAATACTCAGTTCTGTGAAGTTCTGAACAAAGCAATTGCTAGTTCAATTGAACTTACTAAGACAATTCCAAGTCCAATTGAGCTTAGCGATGTCTTAGTTCAGTATTTTCCAACATTTACTAAGCTTATAATGTTGAGAACTTTATACCAAGTTCGTCAAAATCTTCCTCGTTACATGCAACGGTCATTCGACAAGAGAATTGCCGAATTCCAAGTCTTTAGTTACGGATATGACCAAGATGAATACATTGACGAGTTCGGAGACAACTGTACAAAATGGTTTGAATGCTATACGACAACACAATTTGAATTCGACTTTCTCGAATTCAACGCAGCAACCATTCATATCATTGCTCTTTACCTTTCCGAACAACAACAAGACCTCGCAGATGGAGATGTTGTTACTGTCGTCATGGAAACTCCTGAACAATTCGGAAAAAAGAAGTCTCTAATTGCCAAATTTGTTCCAGGACATCAGCTTTTCCAACGCACAGAAGTCTTCTGTATTCCTGGAACTAAGTTCTTTGTCAGGAGCGAACTCAAAGAAAGATATAATGTGTCATTCAATTACACATTATATAATGTTTTCGACCCAGAAGAAGGCTTCTTCCCAGAAGCAATGGAGGAAGAAGAAGAGGAGGAAATACAAGATTCTATCCAAGAAGAGTCCTCCGAATTCACACCAGAAGACTAACAATTTTCCGAATAAAAACTTCATTTTATACTAAACATCTTCGGGGCTAGAAGGGGCGCAGCCCCTGGAAGCCCCAATCCCTTTTTTTTTTTTTTTCATTTTCATATTGATCAGGACAAATTTTCAGTTTAGCAAAAATTTGCTGGAAATCGATTTCGGCATTTTTTCAAAAAAAAAATGCAACGGTAAAACTTGATTTCCAATCTTAAGCTTGCCAACAACTATGTGATACACTTGGTACTCCTTAATGCATAATAGTTTAACAAAATTCTGTTGATCATTTTGTTGGGAAACAAATATGAAATTTTTGGTGGATTTTGTCATTTTTTTCACTTCATTTTTTTAAAATGATTGATGTTAATATAGACATCTCATATATAAGAAATGCATCACTTATTCCGACTAGTGATGTTTTCACGATTCATATCAATAATCATCAAGTTGAAACATCTCCAATTGTTGCAAGAATATTCAGTCCAAAAATAAACTCGATTTTGCTTGCAGATTCAACATCAGTTTCATACTCATGCAATATACAAATCGATGATGAAAACACAATGAACCTATTTCAAGGTTTTCTGAAAAATGGAATTATTAAAGAACAATGTAGTTTAAATACAATCAAAGATTTATATTTCATAGGATTAGAATTCCAAAATAATGAACTAATTGCTCCTTTCTCAAGTTATTTAAACGAAAATTGCATTTCATTTGAAAACATCGACATTTATTATGATTATGCTCTTAGAACACATAACACTGAAAAACTCAAATCCTTTTTCATCAATAGATTTAATGAATTTCAAGGAAAAGTAGAAAATTTAATCAAATATTTTGACACACTTGGAAATGACCTCATTGAAGAAGTATTCTCAGAATCACAGAGTTTCAATCAAGACATACTTTTAGAAGTCATTCTTGGCTTGGTTGCAAAATCTAATAATATGTAAAATCTTTCAAAGGAGTCAAGAGAAAGATTTTGCAATGAACTGAAGAGCAATGATTCAATTTCGAAAGAATTTGTAATAGATCTTTGGTTGAATCCATCATTTACTCCAAATGAAAACATAGAAAAGCTTTCAAACATTCCCAAAACAGAAAATGATTTTGAAAGTATTAGACAACTACTTCATAAGGCTGCACTTGAAGGAGATGTACAAACAATTAAATATGCATTATCTAATGGTTATTGTAGCGTAAGGAATCAAAATGATCATAACATAATATTGGATTCTTCTTATAAAAATGATTGGAAACTTGTTAAATTACTTATTGAAAATGGAGACGATTATAAAGTGGTGAAATACGATAATACCAATATCCTTCATTTCTTTTCTCAATGTGAAAACCCTGAAGCATGTCAATATCTAGTGAATTTAATTGATCCAGAGTTGGAGACAACTTATGGTTCTAAAGCAGCTGCTCTCTGCCATGGAAACAATGAAATAATTCAAATTTTAAGATCAAGAAATCTTGAATTTGGACTACGATCTTTTTTGGGAAGACAGAGATTCTCTTTGTTTCAATGAAAATCGAAGATACTTGAAAAAAAAAATTATTACCCAGATTTGCCTTACTTTTACCACCTCTCTAAAGCTGGGGACACCGCCTATCGTTGGGAGTAGCTATTAAATAGAACCACCAAGGGTATTTTTCGAACTGCCGGTGTAGTGTAAACATCCGACATAATGATTTATTATGTCAAGGTTTGATTCCCATTTAGCCAATTTTTTTCTTTTTTGGATCATGAATTTTTTTTTGGGTCACTATAAGATTTGTTTCATGTTCTAAATCTGCTGCATATGTAATCTATTTTTATTTACCTATTTTTTAAAAATCTATTGGATTGCCAAATTTGAATATATTTAAAATCATAAAACTCCAAAAAAACTATAAATATATGTTTTATGCATAGTGCCGATACTCAAATATCAGATTACTTAGATCCATGAATAATATCCGAATTTTTTTTCTTAAAATTAAACTTCAAAACTTCTTGCAATCTTATTCTTAATCAATTGTAAATTTTTAAAACCATTTTTTAAAATAATTTTGCGTAAATTTTATTCTCATGTTGTTTTAATCGAAAATTGATACATTTTCAAAAAAATAATATTGACTTATGAAATTCATTTTTAAGGTGAAATAGTATTGTTTTTATTAAAGTATATGAATAATATATAAAAAATTAATGAATAATATAAGCAGATTTTTAGTTTACAAAACAAATATGAGCAATGCAATTTCAAACTTTTGCTGGCAATTTCGATATTGCTCAAGTTTGTAGTATTTGTGATACCTATAACATCGGCTTAATCAAAATTCGATTTTTCTTATGAGTTATTGAGAAAATTTGATTGCAATGAGAAGGATTTCGACGTTTTTGATAAACTAAGAGCTGAGCTTTAGGGGTTCAGTTCATTTATGGCTGTAGTTTGATGCGTAGATCTCTTTTTTATTGTAAATTCTTTCAGCATGGAGATCGAGAATGAATCTTTTGAGAACTTTATGAGTTTTTACACCCGTAAAGAGGTCCTTCGAGGAAAGATAGTCCAGACTACATGAAGATGTGGGTTAACCAAAAAAATCCGATGGTTTCCCCATATTCATGTAGATCTTCGAAAAAATGAGCACCAAAAAAGCCAAAAAAATAGGCTTTTTATTGGATTTGTACACTAGATCAATAATCTATTTAGGATCTGACACTCTTTTTAGCCAGAGATATGAGGTCCTTTCTAGGAAAATGATCTATTCATCCATAAAAAAAATGAATTATCGTTTTCCCCAGAAATTACATGGGGAGTGGTAAAAGTAAGGAAAATCTGGGTAATAATTTTTAGTTAATGACATATATGTGACATTCGTTCAAATAAATAAACAACTTATTTAAGGATTAATGAGCATCTTTTTTTCTATCGCAAGTTACTGGGAGCTTTGGCTGTTTGATATAAACCAAGTGGCCTTTTTAATATGAAATCTCCTATAGAATTGTGTGCATTTATAGTTTCTGTATTTAATTCATATATTTTCGTTAAACAAAAGCAAATATCTGCCTGTGAAAGGTTTAAATATTTTGTATTAAATCTTTTTTGTTTGAAGTAATGTATTCCAATAATTTATAAAAATTTCGTGTCTGCTAAGTTTGAGATCTTGGAGTATTAATATTATCGTTGGTAATATGCTTAACTCGATGTTTTTTGATTTTGTTAATTTTAATATAAAATTTGAATCAAGAGTTTCATTTTCGAACAGCTACTACAAAAATGACCTTTTTCCATGGAAAAAGGTCATTTCTGTCGTTTCTGCTCGAAAACTCTGGTTTTGTATTTCAAAATTTCAACTACCAACATAAATCAAGATCTGATGTTAGGAACAATATTTGTTTCGGGAACAAGAGGTGTGTTGCTGATTTGAAAGGAAATTCTTGAGTTTTTGTGAAATTATCTAAATTATTTCTCCGAAGTTTCTTGAATAACCATATGAATTAGTACCATTTTGGATACTGATTCATTAGCTTGAAGGACAAGTAAGGACCTTAAAGAAGTCCAGCGCCTTAAGCTCATTTGACATTTAGGTGTCAGAAATGTGCGCTTTTATGGACGGGGGTATACCCAAGTCTACCAGATTTGCCAAATTTTGAGGGGAAAAAACCGAAATTCTAGGAGGCAGATTTTTTATAGGAAAAAACGATCGACTTTATTTATCCGTAAATTCTTTCAAATTAGCCAAAAATTTATGAGCAATGCGGAATAATTAAAAAATGCATGTAATAGTCGTAGATTTGAGAGAATTTCTGGCGATTCTGCAAATCAAATATACGTTTATGCTTTAGGCAGCAAATGGTGAAAAAATACTCACTTTTTCGAATTTGCGATCTTATTCAATGTGTGAACTCTGCAAAAAATATGAAAATTTTAATAGCATTTGCGTGATTATTTGTTTCTTTGAGATAAAACTCACAAATACTATATCAAATTTTTCTCACCAAAATTGGGAAAAATATAAAACCAAACGAAAATATTAATAATTTTCTTGATTTATTTAGTTCAGAAACAATTTTCTAATAAGGAATATACTTCAATTTAAGCACAAATTTGATTTTTTACTTTTTGTTTAAAAATATATACATATTGAGATTTTATATTTATAATTTGCTTTAAAAAGGTGAAATAATTCTAAAGTACATCACAATGAAGGAATAAAATAATATGGTAGCATCAACACATGATGAAATTCATCTTTAATTAGAAATTTGAAAGACAAATTTATATTCAAATAGAATTTGAAAAACTTATCAGGCTCTTTCTAAGCAAAAATATTCTATTGCTCAAACTAAGTTTTGAAAATTTGACAAGCGTTAGAAAACGGTGTAAAAAAAATTAGAGTTCGTATGAGTTCTAAGTATGCTGAATCATATGCGAGCTCGACAAACATAAATGGATCTAAAGAAATAACTCAACTTTTCAATGTAATGGTTGCGCAACAGTTATTAACAAAAGAAAAATCTCGTCCAGTTGAAACTCGTCCATTTCCATCATCAAATACATATCTACTTGCTTCAAAGTGGGTAGCAAACTATTTGTTTGAAAATGGAATGTCTAAAACATTACAATCTGCAAATCACGAAACAAAAGGCTATATTAAACAGACAGGATTACCAATTCCTATTGCAAGCGAGCTTAAATTAAGATCAGAGAATGAAATATTTCATCAATTGGCTACTACAGTCCAGCCAAAGGCCAGACCAGAAAAATACAATAGAAGTACAACAAGAGTAGCTATTGAAGGGCCAGCTGGACGTGCAACAGTCAAAATTACTAAACGCGGAGCTGATATTCGCGATTCTAAAGAAAACAGAGAAAAATTTAGAGATGAGAGACAAAAAGCCCATCAAAAATCACGCGAACTACCTCAAGAAGCACTACCTGCGAAGGAATCTCCAAAACCACAATCACAGGACCATCACCATTATCATAAACATCATCACCATCATCATCGCAATGAACAACCATCAGAATCCCAACAAACACCAGTACGTAACTCACCACATCATACACATCATCACCATTACCATGAATCTCCTAAAAAACAAGTATATTCACCAAAACAAAGAAAAATACAAGATGACGTTTCAACAATTTCAAATTCACAATACGGAGAAGTTAAGAAACGCGAAGTTAAACCAGAATCTCCAAAGAAAAATACAAAACAAATTTCATTCAAAAATAGAATCCAGAAAATGCTCATAAAATCAGCTCTTGCCATCGAAAGTACCTTTGAATATCACCAGCAGTTTACAGACTACGTTCCAGCTTACGCTCCCGTTGAACCTGTTGCATATTCACCTCCTCCACCTGAACCTGTACCAGAACCAGCTCCACAATCAGTAGAACAGCCTCCTCAGGAGACTGCTGAGTCTTCCAAGGAATCAAGTTCAATTCCGTCTGTTAAAGATTCAGAATCAAGTTCTGCAGCTCCATCTGTATCCTCAAATAGCGATTCTGGCTCGGCCGCTCCAATTCCATCATCATCTTCTTCAGATGAAGAAAAGAAAGATGATGAAGAGGAAGAAGAAGATTTCGAAGAGGAAGAGGAGGAAGAAGACTTTGTAGAAGAGGAGGATGAAGAACAATGAACTTATTTAATTCGTTCTTAATTAGCGGAAAAATTTTATATTTTATATTGACTTTAACTCTCTTTGTTGGTAATTAGTATAATAAATATTATATTTTCTTAGGAATCCGTGATTTACCTTATTACAATTAATGCATTTTAGTCTTTATTTCTAAATTGACTTTTATTTGATTTACTCAATAGAAATAGAAAAATTCAATAAATGTAAAGCCTGCGTAGCATAGTGGTTATTGCGTGCGCCTTGTAAGCGCAAGGTCGCCGGTTCAACTCCGGTCGTAGGCATTGCTTTTTCAACTTTTTTTACAGCTTCTTCTCAATAAGAATGATAAACTCTTTTTGCACATTGATCATTTAGATCCTGTACACTAAAGTGGATACTCTTATACAGTATCGATCTAATACACATTATGAAAGGTATTCTTTCGTTTATTATCATAGTTTAACCGATCATTATCTATTACAGATTATAATATCCGCACTGATTGTAAATAGAATCCATGTTCCGAAAGTGTTCATTCTCAATTCTAAAATAATACATCAATTATTAGAAATTGATGGTGCATTTATTCAGTGACAAACGACTATGCCATAAATGATAATGCAAACCTTTCATTTTCGAAATATTTAACGAGAAACTTCATATCATTTCAATTTTTTATCCGCTTTTTAGATAAATTTATGTTAAATGCAAATTAAATACTGTTAAACAGGTTTTGTTTTTGTGGATTATCGTATAGTAGTAGGATATGATGGGTTTTGTGACTTTTTTTGTAAACGTAAGAATTCATACAATATCGAGCGATTTTGTATCATTTTTTTTAACATATGAAGTAAAAAATGTATGAATTCTTACGGTTTTTATTCTTACGTTTTTGAATAAATCAAGATTTAAAAAATTTTCAAAATTGTAAGACATTTACACTCAGCCCATACATAATGAAATAAAAAATAAAAAATTTTTAAAAAATAAATCATTAAAAAATTAACATTAATTTTAAAATAATTTATTTTTTTATTCTGACATAAATAACCCAACAAGTAAAACCAGATAAAATAGATTATCGAATTTTAGAGGATGGTGTTCCTGTTTATATTCAAAGATTTAAAGGGAAGCAATATTATAGAATTGTTAATCCTGAATACATAAAACATTTATTTAAAAAGGAAGACTGTGAATTATTAAACGCTAATGAATATGAAACCAATAAATCAAAATTGAAATATAAATATATTGGAAGTGATGAAAGGTGTAAAGATAAAGATAAAGTTTATTCAGTTTCATATAATGAATGGAAAACCAATAAGATAAGAAAACATTTAGGAGATTATGGTAAAAGTTCTGAATTCTTTAAATCTAGTATATACGAGAGAGTAAAAGAAATCAGATATAATTATCATTCATGAATGAAAAATAAACTACCATAATGAAATAAAAAAATAAACTACCATAATGAAATGAAAAATAAACTTTAAAAATTTATGTCTTACATTTTTTGAATAATTTATTTTTTTAATTCGTATGAAAATGAGTGTCAAGACTAACGACGTTAAAAAATTGGAATTCACAAACGAGGAAATAAAGGATATATTAGAGGAGGCAGGTTATGAAGTTAATAAATATTATTTAAGAAATTGTCAAAAATTCGCGGAGTTTTTAAATGAGTTTGATTATGATAGAAAAATGAATAAAGATGATGTTATAAATTTCTTATATCCCACATCTGAAGAAGAAAAACCTAAAGAACCTGATGTTTTCCCTGAATATTATGAAGAACGGATTAAAGATGATGAATATGATGAAATTGAAAGACTGGAAAAAATAAGAGATGAAATAGATGAAAAAATTAAGGAATTAAGAGAAGTTGAAAAATATAATGAGAATGAAGTAGAGGGTTTAATGAATATCCCAGCTTCAGAATCAGAAGTTCAAAAATCACATGAAGAAAGATATAAAAATTACTTTTTGGAATCAACTAAAAATTTATTAGATGGTGATATTGACGAAACACTTTCAGAAGAAGGCACAAAATTTATTCATAAACATAAGCTTCAGTTTATTGATGATGAAGATTATCCATGTATATTACTTTCACCCCCTCTTGATTCTGAAAAATTCAAAAAAGCACTGAAAAATGTAACATATGCAACAAATACGATTAAGAAAGAAGACCATGATATTTACACAAATTATTATTTAAATAAATGTACAGGTGTTGATAAAGTTTTTGATTTGTTAGATAAAATATCAAAAGAAACAATTGGTACATATAAAATTTTATGTGATTGTGGTTTCATTATTGAAGATACCAATAATGTTTCATATGAAAGAACAGCACCGAAGGAAGACGAAGTGGAAAGGTCTATACCATTCGTTATTAAGAACATAAAAGATATGAAAACGTATAAGCATTATATTTATTCATTTATTTCAGAAAAAATGGAAGCAACCCATAAATCATCTCGTCATCATTTCATAGCTATTCACACATTCCTTTTCAAAGTTGTGAAATTAAATAAGACAGGAATTAGATTTAATGTATCAGGGTACGCATTCTTGAGTAAATTAAAATGTATTCGTCACGTTGCAGATGATAAAAATTTGTGTGTTCTTAATTCATTTTATGGACTTTAGCCCTGGACTTTAATAAATAAACTTTATTTTTATTTATTTTTTAATTTTTTATTCTTACATAAATGAACAAAAACGGAACAGCTAAAATGAATGATAATCAAATAAGAGCCGAAGGTAGAAGGTTATTTAAACGCTTCTATAACATTCCTGATGGTGTTAATCCTAAAACTCGTAGAAGTTATTTAAATGAAGCCATAGATGCGTATGAAGGATTTGACATTTCATCAGAAAGTGAGAGGTTAGCAAGAATGTTAAACATTAATATTGATTTTTATTATTGTGTTCCTCAACCAGAAGACGTGGACATAAATAAGGTAGACTTTCCATTAGTGGATTCAATAATGATAGATCCAGAATTTGAAACAGTAAATATTTTATTAACACAGAGTCCATGTGGAAAACTTCACGCTGACAGAATAACAGACGTTGAAGCACTCACAGGATATAAAGTTTGTCCATATTGTAAAGAAGAAGTTTATTCTATCCGCGATGATCCAGAAAGGAAAAACCAAAGAAGATTTTTAAAACATTGTGAGAAATGTAAAGAAAATAATGGGAGATTAATTCAAGACGTTCAGTTGCAAAAGACACAGCAACCATATGCACCACATATTACGAAACAGAAGATATATCAATGGCTATTAGCACATAATTTGCAGGAATATTATAAACCAACAAGATATTATATTACTTTTGACTTCGAAACATTAGAGACTAAAGAAGAACTTCAACTTTCTGAATGTGCAACTTTGAACGCTTACTTAAAACCATTTATGGTATCATCAACGGTTAAATTAAAGCCGCAAACGGACCGAAGCGGCGAGGTCGTAGACCACGATAAAACATTTACGAGGAATTTTTGCTTAACATCAAGTGATTCTTTTATTTCTGATTGGATTGAGTTTTTATTTTCAACCTGTTCATTAGTTGCTAAATCAAATATTGAACAATATGAAGAATTAATGAAGCCGCAAACGGACCAAACGGCGGGGACTTTGTCCCATACATTAAATGAAAAACAGAAGGAAGCATTTAAAGAACTTCTAGATGAGGAATTCAATAAAGTGAATATCATAGGTTTTAATTCGGGAAAGTTTGATTTAAATTTAATTCTTCGTGATTTAAACACTGCAAAATGGAAAATAAAATCAATGCTGGGTTCTTCTTCTCAATTTAAGCAAATCATTGTAAAGAAAACAAACTGTCCATATGAATTAAGATTTATTGACATCAGAAATTATATAGCGGGTGGAACATTAGACCAATTCACTCAAGATTTCGGAAACAATAAATCACGTGTTAAATCCTTTTTCCCTTATCAATTCATCACATGGGAGAATTACGAAGATGAATTATATAAAGTGGAACCATTCACTCAAGATTCATTTTATTCAGCATTAACTCAAGAAACAATATCCGATTCAGATTATCAAATATATCTCAATGATGCTAAAAATTTTGAGAATAGATTAGAATATTTTATTCATTATTGCAATAAAGACGTTGAAATTATGATTGACCCAATTGATAAAATTATTGAAGAAACATTTGTTTATAAAATTGACATGCTTCATAATCTTTCATTATCATCGAATGCATCAATGATTCGTTACGCGTTAGCATATAAGAACTTCAATCCTAACGAAACATATCCAGAAGAAGAAAATGTGGAATCAAGTTTTGAATTAACAAAAAAGTATTGGAAATATAAAATTGAATCATATAAGAAACAAGATGAAAAAGCAGAAAGGGATACTAAAAACAATGTTTCAATGGATGACTATCAATACTATCACGATTTAATCCTTTCATCTAAATGCAAAATGTGTGGTAAAGCGTTTACATATGCTAATAAACCAACATTAGATAGAATCGATAATGAAAAACCACATACTAAAGAAAATTGTCAGTTAATGTGTTGTTATTGCAATGTCGTAAAATCAAATAAAGATGAAGATGTTCAACGTTTAAGAATCAATTTAAGAAATTATACATTAAAAAATAATTTACCAATGACTCTAGATTCAGTTGAAGCTTATCACATCCTCCGTAATGGAATTACTGGTGGTTTATCAAATGTTCAACATAGAGTAAATCTTAAAGGAATCACGCACATTAATAAACTTTCATATAATCCAGAAACTAAAACTGTATCAAATGAGGACACCACCAACATTATGACTCATTTCGTTGGTGTTGATTTTAATTCATTATATCCTTCATCATTTTCATCTAATCCTCATGATTTCATTCAATATACTGACCATAAAATGTATATGCCGGGAAGATTGAATGGTGTTATCATTTGTGATACAGCAACAAAGAAAGCAAAAGCATTGGGAATAATTAAGAAGAAAAATACTTTATTC